ATATATATATATATGAATAACAAAATACTCATTACTTAACTAAAGAGTTTCTCTAACCAACAACCATCACTATAAATCTCTTGATGATACAACATCTCGTTCACGCTGTCAGAACTGTCTTATACCTTGCCGGAATATAGAACGAACTCAACTCATGGATCCACTATAAAGGACTGCTCAAAGGCAATGAGGAGTCACCCGAAAGTCGATGTGATTTTAACCCACGCCTACGTGGTTTATTCTAAATTCATAGCTATTGCACACATAACAATTCAGATCAATACAATTCTCAACTCCAAAATATCTTCTTTCATAGTTCTCTCTAGAATATTGAGATCCATTGATGAACAACTCGAGCTAAATTTTCTAGCTCATAGCTCATATTTTTACACGAAACAACACCGAGTATAAGTTAGAGACCTTTTCAGCAGTTATCATAAAATTTACGTGTTAGTTTTATAAAATTTAACAAAGAAGATAGACATTTTCTTTTTATCATTACTAGTATACGTACCCGCACGTTGCGCGGATATTTAAAAATCTAATAATTTTTAAATTTAGAAAATAACTAATACAAATTATTAGTGAGTAACAAAAGTACATGTGTAATCATATATAATGTTTTAGTTTTATATATATGCGCTTCATGCTAACACAATTTTTCCATAATTTATATCAAATTTGTTTTTTGACAGTTTTATTTGACAAAATTTAACATAATTATCTATCAAATAAAAATTATGTTTTTCTGGAGGTAGTCTTTTTTAAAAAAAAAAATCAAACTGAAAAAATTGTTAATTATTTTGATGAGACATGTGGCTTTATTGGCAAAAATATGAATTTATAGTATTTTAAATTTATCCTTTTTAAGAAATGATAATTCGAAAATCATTCTATTACTAACATGTGTTTTTTTTTTTACAAAATAGAGATTTGAAATATTTAAAGTCATTTTTAGATATAATACATGAATTCACAAACCTTTTAATCATGGCATGAGTCTGATCTCTATCTAAATAATTATACACCAATACAAATATAAAACTTAATACTATGTACAATTTAAAAAGATAGATAAATAAAGACAAATAATAATACAAATTACAAATTAGTACTATAATTTTGAGAAATTATATAAAATTATATATAAAAATGATATGCATCAACTCAATGTTACCATTTTTTCCCTTTGAATATTGTGTTATTCATGACGAAGACAGTACTTTTGAAAAGAAAATTGCTTCATTAATGTGAGAAATTGAAAAAATATGATAGTGCGGAGGAAAGGAAATGGGAAAGTGGGAATAGTAGGTGGTTTATAAAACTGATTCTTTGTTTTATTTATATTTTACTTAATACATATGCTCAAATAAAATGTTTTTTGTAATAATATATTAGGTAAGGATAAAATTAAGAAGTTATAACTATTTGTAACCACTTCATCTTATAACACTCTTCTCAATTTTGAATTATTATTTTATTAAAAAATAAAACTTATGCATTATTTTTAGTAAAACTAATTAAATTATCAATTCAAATGTTAAAAATTCTATCAAAGACTTTTAAAAAATTATAATTATTTATAATTATATATTTATCTTTTAAAACTAATTAAATTATTATATTGTTGTAAGTTTTCTATGACTTAAAAAAATAATCCATATATAGGCCAGGCCACACGTAGGCAGTGGGTATTATTATTATTATTATTATTATAATAATAATATTATTATTATTAATAATAATAATAGATATTCTCCCCCTTATAATAAAAATGGATGATTGAAAATGTTAAAAATAAATAAATTTTAAATTTTAAATTAATTATTTTCAAAAGTAATTAATTTAGCTAAGAATATATACTATCCATAATTGAATAACCTTCTTATATGTTGCATATTTTATGTCCTTGAATCTTTAATTTTTTAAAGAGATATCCATTTTTATTTTTATAATTATTTAAGATTAAAATAGATTATTAATTTTTTTCGTGTTTATTATTTTGAGTGGAGATATATGAATTATTATGTGCCTATGATTTAGGAGAAGATATTCTACACTTCTAGGAGTATTTAATTATTATTATTTTTATTTTTTTTACAAAATAAATCCCCTCTCTCTCAGCTGGCGCACGTTAGAGTGCACTAACTTGCACCTTGTCGGAAATGGGACGAGGACGACCACGGAAACTGACGCATAAAGATCAAGCGGAGGAAATATTGCATGGAATATCTACTAGTTCTAATGGAAGGAAAACACACCAAGCTCCCCTGACTGAGATACAACTAAGCACACCAGAGGGAATGGCGGTGGTGGTTTCAGATAAGGACAAAGGAAAACAAGGAAGAGAAGAAGAATGGCCGAAATTAACACATCAACAAGGATCTGGTGGGGGTACACAAAAAGACCCTGTTTAGGTCAATGGAACAGTAAATAGGGAAAAAAATGTGGGTAATGCTCAAAGGAAATTAAATCCAGAGGTAACACCTGAGAAGCCTTGGGCGAACCTATTTTCCACAAATCGACTGGCTGCGAGATGTATGAATCTAAACTATATAGCTCTAATAATTGTTGAGGGGGAGAAGGTAGTAGAAATTATGCCTGAAAATGTAGCTGAGGATGATATGAAATGGGCACCTTCGGTGGTTGTTTATGTAGTAGGAGTAACACCATCTATTGGAGCTATGGAAAGGTTTATTATAGAATAGGGGACTTTCTCTACTAAACCAGTAGTGTTATACCACTCTGATGGGTATTTTGTAGTCAGATTTGCAAATGAAGAGGAAAGGGATAAGGTGTTGTGTGCAGGGCCTCATTATTTGCTCAAAAGGCCTGTTATAATGAAGCCTTGGCTCCCAGAATTTAATTTCAAAGAGGAAATCCTTACCACTATTCCGTTGTGGATAAAACTTCCTAATCTTCCCCTTAACTGTTGGAATTTTGTGGTACTAAGCAAAATAGGCAGTAGTTTGGGAAAACCACTCTATGCTGATGAATGTACAACTCAAGCAAGTAGAATTTCATTTGTGAGAATACTTATCGAAATAGATGTGACTAGACCTCTTCCTAAGATGATTAAGATTCGAGATCCTAAGGGGAAAATGCTGGATCAGCAAGTGTGGTATGAGTGGAAGCCACTATTTTGTCAAAAATGTTTACAGGTGGGTCATTCATGTGTAGACAAGCCAAAAGTAATACTAGCAAAGAGAGGACAAGGACTAGGGCAGAGGAAAGAATGGAGGCAAACAACAATAGGAAATAAGAATCAGGAGAAGCAAACAGAACAGCAATCAGAACCTATTCCTAAAGTGGGAGCACAAAATGAAAAGCAAGGTTCACAGAAGCAAGAGAATTGGCAAATTGTGAGATACAGGTCATCTAACAAAAGAGTGACACTACAATCTGCATGGACTGATATACTGAACAGGGAGAGAGATACATATGTGAAACTGGGCATAGAGGAAGCTAGTATTGAACCTGAACCTCCAAATAAAATATGTTAGTCACTTGGAATGTAAAAGGTTTTAATTAGGAGGTGAAGCACAGGGAGATGGGGTTATTTCTGAGGAGGAATAAGGTTAATATGATAGCAATATGTGAACATAGAGTTAGAGAAGATAGAGTCAGTAGTATTATAAATAAAATAATGCCAAGCTGGAAATGGTGCACAAATTCTGCTAGCAATGTGAGAGGAAGCATTTGGGTGGTTTGGAATCCAGGTGTAATTAATTTCACTACTGTCGAAAATTCTACACAACACATTCATGTGAAGGTTGAGATGCAAGGGAGCAAAATAAAATTTCAATTTACAGTAGTGTATGGCTTGCATTCAATCACATCTAGAATCCCTCTATGGACAACAATAAAATAGTTAAACACACACATCAATTAGCCATGGTTGATTATGGGAGATTTTAACTCCATTTTGACAGCAGAGGACAGACCTATTGGAAGTCAAGTGCAAAGCTCAAAAACAAGAGATTTTCAAGAGTGCATCAATGATTGTAATTTAACTGAGTTGGTCACAGTTGGAAGGAAATTCACCTGGACAAATGGACATGTGTTTAGTAAAATTGATAGAGCACTAGTTAATGCTGAGTGGGTACTGCATATTCCAATAGTACAAGTGTTGGTTATGGATCCACTATTCTCAGACCATTCTCCTCTGAGTATCAATGTGGAGGAGCACAAGGATGCAAAGAAAAGGCCTTTTAAAATTTTCAACTGTTTAACACAACATCCAGAATTCAAAAATAAGATCAATGCAAGCTGGTAAATCAAAGGAAGAGGTATGCAATGGGTCTGGCAGAATATGATGAAGGTGAGAAGAGAATTGAAGCAACTAAATCAAAGAGAATACATGGGGGTATCAGAAAAGGTCCACAAATTAAGAGTTGAGCTAATGGACATGCAAAGTCATATGAGAATTATACATATTCCTCAATGCATGATTGATGAAGAAAATGAGCTAAGGACAGAGTTGAATAAATGGAGTAGGATTGAGGAGGCAATTTATAAACAGAAATCCAAAGTGCAGTGGCTTAAGTTAGGGGATTCAAACACATCATATTTTTATGCTAGTATGAAGAACAGGAAATCCCAGAATCAAATAACCAGAGAAGCAGTGAGGCTTTATCAGAACCTGTTAGGACAAGCAAATCCTCTCATGCCAGCCACCCAGCCAGCAGTAGTAAGAGATGGACATGTACTATCTAGAGCTCAACAACTGGAATTAATCCAACCTTTTACAAAAGATGATGTTCTGATGACACTTAAAAGTATTGAGGATAACAAGGCATCAGGTGGAGATGGATTCAACTCTTATTTTTTCAAGCAAACTTGGCCTATTATAGGTGAGGAGGTAACTACTATTGTTCTTCAATTCTTTAGCACTAACCAGATGTATGCTCCTATTAACAGAACTTCAGTTACTCTCATCCCTAAAGTACAACATCCTAGCTCTATTAAAGAATATAGACCTATTTCTTGTTGTACCACAATGTATAAGATCATATCCAAAATGCTCACTCACAGACTCCAAGGAGTTATGGACTTTCTAGTGGACCCTAGTCAAGCTGCATTTGTACCTGGTAGAATGTTAACAGACAATGTCATCCTAAGTTATGAGTTGATTAAGGAATATGGGAGAAAAGGAATCTCACCTAGGTGTATGTTCAAAATTGATATGCAAAAGGCGTGCGATTCTTTAGAGTGACATTTTCTTGAGGAAGTTCTGGTTGGTATGCAACTACCTGAAAGGTTTATTACATGGATTATGAAGTGTGTCAGGACAGTCTCTTACTCAATTATGATTAATGGATGCCCTAATGTTCCATTTCAGGCAAGAAGAAGGGTAAGGCAAGGGGATCTTTTATCCCCTTACCTATTTGTTCTGGCTATGGATTATCTTACAAGACTATTGAGATCATTGAGGAACAAAAATGCTTTTAAATTTCATCTGAGATGTCAAAAGCAACAAATAATTCAGCTGAGTTTTGCAGATGATCTTCTCTTATTTAGCAGAGGAGACAGACCATCAACTACACTTCTGTTTGAATGTTTCCAGCAATTCTCCAAAACATCAGGACTCATAGCAAATCAATCCAAAAGTTGTGTGTACTTTAGTGGAGTCCCAGAACCAATTCAACAACAGATACTGCAACACACAAGTTTCACCAAAGGAGCTCTCCCTTTCAAGTATCTTGGGGTGCCACTCAGTTCAAAGAAACTATCTATTAGCCAATGCCAATCTTTAATAGATAAGATGGTGGGGAGGATCAACACATGGACAGTAAAGTTTCTTTCATATGCAAGAAGGCTCCAGTTGGTACAAAGTGTCTTAACATCAATCCAAGCTTTTTGGTCACAGATCTTTCTTGTTCCTAAAAAAATCTTACAAACAATAGAAACATTGTGTAAGAGATTTTTATGGAAAGGAGATGCACAAAGCAAAGGAAAAACACTCATTGCATGGGACACATTATGCTGGCCTAAGGTTGTTGGTGGTTTAAATATAACTGATGTATATATATATGGAACAAAGCAGCTATACTCAAACACCTGTGGAATCTTGCACAAAAAAAGGAGAAGTTATGGATTGTTTGGGTCCATACATACTATATTAAAGGCAGGAGACCATGGGAAGTAGCAGGGCAGCAAGCTTCTTGGATGGTGAGGAAGATCATACAAGCAGGTCATTGGATTTCTGAGGCTGGAATACCAATGACAGAAATCATGGATGTAGATGATTTCACCATTAAAAGTATGTATAAGAAGCTTAGGAGGGATTTCATCAAGGTGCCATGGAGAAGGTTGACATGCAATAATCAAGGGAATCCAAAATGGATCTTCATACTCTACTTGACCATACATAGGAGGTTATATACCATGGATAGGTTGGATAAATAGGGGATACACACGGATCAAGTATGTGCACTGTGTAAGCAAGAGCTAGAGACACACCAACATCTTTTTTTCTCATGCACTATGGCTGCTAGGATTTGGCGTAAGTTATTACAGTGGTTATGCATTATCAAGAACACAACAGGGTGGACAGAAGAAATGGATTGGGCTATTTCACATGCCACAGGAAAAGCAATTCAAGATGAGGTATATAGGATGACACTCGCAGCAACAGTATACTATGTCTGGCAAGAGAGGAATTACAGAATTTTCCAAAAGAAAGAAAGAACCACAGAGATGATCACCAGGAGCATCATTCAAGAAATCCATTGTAGAAGCAGTATGCAACCGAAGCTGGCTGAATTCATTCGTAACTTCAATTATTATCCATAGAATAGTAGTTTAGTGGTAAGGGTAGTAGCACGAACTTTGAGATTGGGACTATGTCCATATCCAGAATTTCATAACACTTTGTACATATTGATATATCTGGTAATAAAGCTTACAATTACGAAAAAAAAATTATTATTTTTTCTTAAAAGGTAGCTATTAATAAATTACCTCAATTTTTTAAACTCATCATAAAATTAGTGCTCAGAAATTTGAAACTGATCTCAATAATTTTAAAAATTAATTGTAATAACTTTTGGAAATAAATTAATTAATTTAATTGTTATAGGAGGCAAAAGTTAATCTTGTAATTGCTATTAATAATGGGTAAAAAAAAAGTGATTTACGCTATTGTAGTAAATCATTTAGTGAATATAGAAATAAATTTTAAATTATATGTATTGAATATTTATGTAAAACATTGTTAATAGTATTCATATAGATTATAAAAAAATGTAAAATTAGAAAATAAAATCTCATTAACTATACAATAATTATTATCAACTTAAAGATATTAAGAAGCATGAGGTCTTTACCACATTATGATATATTTTCCATTAATAAAATAGAATAAATACATAGATTTGGTTAGCTTATAGATGAACTTTTGGTAAATAACTTTTTTTATATTGAGTCTGTATCTAATAATATCAATTGCATCAACAACAAAATAAACAATAATTTTATAGGATACTATTATATTATCAAAAATGAATGCTACACTTTCAGTATGTGTAGATAATAACTTTGACAATATTTCAAAAATAAGAATAAAATTCAGATTCAAATTCAAGAAATTCACACACTAATCAACCTGCAAAAAAAAAAGTTACAATCATTAAAAATAATTAATAAAAATAGAAAAAAGAATCAACAAAAATTAACGATTTACAATAATTATAGATAATAGATTTTAATGCTTAAAAAGTTGCAATAGATAAAACACATACACAAATCTCATGATAGTATTAATTCTATATATGAAGTTTATTATAGTGATTTTTGTCTCAACAACTACGAAGTCACATTAAAAGGAGCAAAATTAAATCGTCAAAAGAAAAACGAAAAAACGATATTAACTTTAAGTAGTATTTTTCAATATTTCAAGGATAAAGAATAATATCAATTCAACTATATAATTAAAACGACAGATTAATTAAAAATATTGTAAATTACTTCTAGTGATTCGGAATACCATAATCATATAACACGAATATTCAACTTTTATTGTATCTTCAATAGTTCATGGACAAAATAATTACGTAAAGCTATAATTTATTGAATGCATTAAATAATTATTATTTTTTATGTGTCAAGTTGTATTAACTATACAAAAATCTTCATATTATCTCACATCTTATATAAACAAATAATTAGAAGAGAATATTCATAAAATTGCATAGTTCCCCCAACACACAAACGTGGAAATAAAATAACCGGCAAAATTCAATTTCTATTCATGCGAAATTTGATCACATTGGAATACTTTATATACTTTTATAAATAAAAAAAGTTAAGGAAGAAACGTATTCACCAATAGATAGAAGAACTAGCATGAATTAAAGAGATATTTATAATAATAAAAAAAATTAACCTGAATTATTTGCTACCCATCTGAAACATTAATAAGTAAAATTCATGGAGTGTCATCGTTCATCTCTTTTTCTGCCATTTGAAAATTTTGAATATTAGCATGTCCTATGAGATATGAAGAGAATTGTGTTTTTTTAAATAGATAACTGAGAAGTTTAATCTCCTACAAAATAGTGAGGAAGTTTAAACTATTTTCACAATTGCAACTTTTATCTCTAAAACCGTTTAATATTTAATTTTTAAATTCAAGTCTTTTAAGTATATTAAAAAAACGTGTGTAGGTGTGTTTATGAGTTAGTGGAGATTTTTTTTTTTTAGTTGAGAGATGGTTTAAAAAATATGTTACAACTCTATTTTTTTATACTTCAATTTTTTTAATCAGTAAATATAGAATATATATATTATAAGTTGTATTTTTTTAAAAAAGATATGTTTATTTTAAAATGCAAATAAGAAAAAAAAAACAGTTACCGTGTTTAAGATAATTTTAAAAATGTTTTAAAATTTTGTGTATCAATAAAAAATGGTTTTGCAGTTACATTTCCCTTATTTAAAAAATTGTTCTAAAATTATATAGATTTAATTCATTTTAGTTATTTAAAAAATATGTTTTTTGTGGTGCCGACATGTTCACCTCTCATATTATATAGATGAATATAGATATAGATAATATATATA